CTGAGCCAGAAAGAGTAAAAAGATAACCAGTCAAAGATCTCCTTTTATCGAGATCACCTGCATAGTCAGAATCCACAAAACCTACAACAGAGGTTCCCAAAGTATTGCTATCAAAAACTAAACCCAAATCTGAGGTACCCCTGAGATACCGTAGGATCCACTTCACTGCCTCCCAGTGTGCCTTCCCTGGTTGAGCCATGTATCTGCTCACTACACTAACTGCCTGGGCAATGTCTGGACGAGTGCAAATCATAGCATACATAATGCTACCCACTGCATTAGAGTATGGAACTCGGGACATCTCCTTCTTCTCGTTCTCACTTGTAGGTGAATCTGAAGCCGAGAGCCTAAAGTGAGGAGCCAAAGGAGTCGTAACGGGTTTGGCCCTTTTCATCCCAAAGCGTTCAAGCACCTTTTCAATATAACTCTTCTGTGAGAGATATAAAGTTCCAGCTTTCCTGTCCCTCCTGATCTCCATACCTAAGATCTTCTTTGCTGCACCAAGATCTTTCATCTCAAACTCATCACTGAGTTGTTTCTTCAAAATAAGAATCTGCGACATGTTCTTAGCAGCAATAAGCATGTCATCGACATATAATAGAAGATAAATAAAAGAATCATCTCCTAGATGCATGTAGTACACACAACTATCATAAGTACTTCTTGAGTACCCATGACTAAGCATAAAATTATCAAACCTCTTGTACCACTGTCTGGGAGATTGCTTCAGGCCGTACAAAGATTTCTTCAATCTGCAAACTTGATCTTCTTTACCTTCTACGAAGTATCCCTCTGGCTGAGACATGTAGATAGTCTCCTCAAGTTCGCCATGTAAAAATGCAGTCTTCACATCAAGCTGCTCAAGCTCCAGATCAAATAGAGCAACCATGGCAAGCAATACACGGATGGAGGTATGCTTCACAACCGGAGAGAACACTTCATCATAGTCAATTCCCTCCTTTTGTCTATAACCCTTAGCCACCAACCGTGCTTTGAATCTAGCATCTTCAACCCCTGGGATCCCTTCTTTCTTCTTGAAAATCCACTTGCATCCAATTGCCCTTTTACCCTTAGGTAATTGCACCAAATCCCAAGTCTGATTCTTGTAGAGTGACTCGAGTTCTTCTGTCATAGCTGTGGCCCAACGTCCAGATTCTCCGCATGAGACAGCTTCAGTAAAGTTTGATGGCTCTTGAATACTCATCTCTTCAGCTGTCGTGAGAGCATACGCCACTAATTCAGCATGTGCATATCTTTGAGGAGGTTTGATCTGTCTCCTCTCTCTGCCAGTGGCTATGGAATAAGGTTCTTCAGTCTCAGCATCTGAGCCTGAATCATGTTGCTCTTCTACAGCTGTAGGAGCAAATTTTATAGACGACTTTTGAGACGTCTCTCCCTCGAGCTCCACCTGAAGCTCCACCTTATCCATGGTCTTCTCTACATTTCCTGTAGACTCAACAGAAACCTTCCCATGATCAAGCATATATCTTTCATTAAAAGTAACATCTCTACTAATAATGAATTTAGGAGAATCAGGTTCAAGACTCCACAAACGATAGCCTTTAACGCCATCAGCATAACCAATAAATATGCATTTCTTAGCTCTAGGCTCAAGCTTACCCTCTCTAACATGATAGTAAGCGGGACATCCAAATACCTTTAAATTTGAATAGTCATTTGGTTTACCTGACCATACCTCATTTGGAGTCTTGTGTTCAATGGCTGTAGAAGGAGACCGATTCACCAAGTAACAAGCTGTGTTAACAGCTTCAGCCCAGAAGCCTTTATCCAAGCCAGAGTTTGAGAGCATACACCTAGCTCTCTCCATCAACGTTCTATTCATGCGTTCTGCCACCCCGTTTTGCTGAGGAGTGTGCCTGACCGTGCGATGTCGTACGATCCCAGAATTTGAGCAGAACTGATTGAACTCACCACTGCAGAACTCTAAACCATTATCTGTTCGGAGACGTTTAATATTCTTTCCAGTTTGATTCTCAACAAGTACTTTCCACTTCTTAAAAGTTTCGAACACCTCGCTTTTACGCCCGAGAAAGTAAACCCAAACTTTCCTGGAAAAATCATCAATAAACGTCAGAAAATAAAGAGCACCACCTTTGGATGGAACCTGAGCAAGTCCCCATAAATCTGAATGGATGTAGTCGAGAGTGCCCTTCGTCGTATGTGAGCCAGTCGAGAAGCTGACCCGAGTTTGCTTCCCAAACACACAATGCTCACAGAAATCCAGTGATGATGTATGATCACCACAGAGTAAGCCACGTTTACTCAAAATAGTCATCCCCTTCTCACTCATGTGGCCTAAGCGCATGTGCCACAACTGAGTAGTGTCTCTATCAGCATCAGAAGACACACCTGCAGAGCCTGTCACCGTACTACCTTGGAGAACATAAAGACTGTTCACCTTACTACCTTTCATCACAACCAATGAACCCTTAGTAACTCTAAGAGCTCCACCTTCGCCAGTGTAAGAACACCCAATAGAATCCAAAGAACTCAAAGAAATCAAATTTTTCTTTAAGTCCGGGATGTGCCTTACATCTGATAAAGTTCTCACTATCCCATCATGACACCGGATGCGAACTGTACCAATGCCAACTGTCTTACAAACTGCATTGTTGCCCATCAAAACTGATCCACCACTTATAGATCTGTAAGTAGTGAACCAATCTTTATTTGGACACATATGAAAAGACGCACCTGTATCCAAGATCCATTCTTTATCGGAACGGCCATCCAAGGGACATACTGTAAGAACCGTCTCAGCAACAACGGCAGTATCAGCCTTTGCCGTATTAGCTGAATCTGATGTTTCACCACGCTGGTTGTCTTTCTTCTTTAGAGCATAACATTCTGACTTGTAATGCCCTTTCTTGTGACAGTAGAAACACTCCACATTTTTCTTGTTTGGGGCTGACCTGGACTTTGAGCGATTTCTGGATTGCCCTTTATCACCTTCTCTGGCCTTCGATCTACCTCTGGCTAGCAGACCATCAGCCTGCCCATCGGTACCTCTCCCATTCAACTTTGTTCTCAACTCAGCAGAGTTCAAAGAGGCCTTCACATCCTCAAGACTTATGGATTCTCTTCCATACAACATAGAGTTAACAAAGTTTTCATAAGAGTTAGGCAATGAACATAACACAATGAGAGCCTGGTCTTCATCATCAAGTTTAAGATCCAGGTTTTTCATATCCATGACAATTTTATTAAATTCATCAAGGTGTTCCTGAATGGGTGTACCTTCCTTCATCTTCAGTGTGTATAGCCGCTGCTTCAGGTATAATCTCGTAGTAAGAGATTTCTTCAAGTAGAGACTTTCGAGCTTTGACCACAACCCCGCTGCCGTTTCCTCATCGGCAACTTCACGAAGCACATTGTCGGATAGTGACAATTGCAAGGCGCTGTGAGCTTTTTCGTCCATCTCTTCGATCTCGGCACTAGTCATATCTTCTGGGTATTTCCCGTCGATAGCTTTAACCGTGCCTTCACGTCGCAACAAAGCCTTCATCTTTATCCTCCATAGGCCAAAATTGTTCTGGCCATCAAAGATCGACACCGAGAACTTTACGGAAGCCATTGTAGAGGATTGAAAGCTGTCCTAGAACCGAGAAGCTCTGATACCAGTTTGTTGGGGAAATTACCCACTAAACCAGAGAATAGAACAATCACAAACACAATATTTACGTGGTTCGATCAAATTGATCTACGTCCACGGCAAGAGGGTGTATCACTATATTTCTTTCTCAACATACAACACTCATACAAAATATTGAGAGCTCACAGATTTCGTTGTATGGCTTTCTCTCTCTTTATCTCTCAATCACTCTCTGCTGGTTTTGAGTGCCTTTAACAGAGGAAGAGAGGGGGGGCTTTTATAGGCTTCAAATCCTCTCATTTGTCAACAAAAACGGCTCTTGATGTCAACAAGTGCGGCTACCGAAAGCCAGCACCTCTTCAGCCACCTAAAGCCAGCACGCCTGCCTCCATTTTTGACTTAGCTCTTCAACCACCAGCACCTTTTCTTCATTGTAAACAAGAGCTGCTGTCGGCTGCCACTTTATTTGACCAACAAATATACGTATGGCTGGCTTTGGTTCTTTCTTATATCTGTGTCAACGATGAGTAACGGCAAGGCCCACTCCTCATTTTCATAGATCTCTGAAAGAAGAAAGTTATATGTCCCTATTTAGTTAAATTTTATTTTTTATCTACCAACATTTGGATACAGTTCGTATCCTACTTTTTGTAACTATAACACCTATATTAATTTTATTTTAATGAACGGGGAGCATCCCCTGTTTTTCTGTCAAAAAAAAAATTTCCCGTGGATCTGATGTCCAAAAATAAGAGAACTCGTGAATCGTTCACAAAATTCCAACTTTCCACTAAATTAACAACAGGTTTCTAACAAAGTTAGAAATAAGTTTGGTACGCAGTTAAATTGTACAACCTGCCCGGACTGTTCTATTCATCTAAAGAGTCTATAATAAAACAAGGAGATTCATAGAAATACATTGCAAAAACACTCTTTTCTACAAATAACATCATTAAAGAAAACCGTTGCTGAAAAAACATCACCAGATAAACCAACAACATCAGTTTCTTATAATCATGAGAGAGAGAGAGAGAGAGAGAGAGAGAGAGAGAGAGAGAGAGCAACGAGATTGCAAATATCAACGTCAGGAGACGATGGGGCAAAAAGACATACGCTCAAGAATGTGCTAAAACATCCCGGCATCTAAAGTATTCTGATTCTAAGAACGAAAAACTCACGTTGAAAGCCCAAAGCGGATGTTAACAGAAAGCACTGAAACAAGAGCTAAAAGACAAATAAACCAAATAAACTCTTATCGAAAATGACTCCCCCACAACTTCACATCAAAGCTCAGGAAAATCTCTTTTGAATTTGCAATTCCTATGATACAACAGCTTCAGCAAAAATATTCTCTAGCAAGATTATATTCCTTTGGGCACAACCAAGCTGAAATCACAGACAAATCACCACCATTATAGTTTTCATAAGCATCTACCCAGTAGGTTCATGGTATATGTGTATAATCAACTCACTGATGTTTAACTACAAATCAAGGAAGAAAAATTCATGACAACTCTACCTAAAAACCCATTATCATAAAAAGATATAAAGAAAATATGCATTTGGATATTGAGACTAGAGGTTCGAGAGAAAGTTGTAAAACTCAGTGCTGCTTCTTATCGGCGAATGGTCCTCGAGGGATTTTCTGCAGAACCTTCGCATCCAACACTGCATGTTGCTTCCTCACTTGAACCATCACGGTCTCACCAACATCATCGACCTGATCCTCATACTTCTCATATAATGCAGGTAGAGTGCACAGGGCCAGAAAAACTACAATGCCAAATAGAGAGGTTGTTTAAACTTCATTTTAGACGTATGCTATAAAAATAAGCAACTCATATTTAAAAAGATCCAGTTATAAGAGGCGAAGAAGCTCCTTAAGTAGACTGAGGGCTCTATTTATTATTTTTTATCCCATAAATTTGCTTTGAGATACATGCTGATCCGTGATATACGTAAAGGTTTTACCTCAAAGTAAACCCAAGGATAAAAACGTTCACTAGTAGAAAAACCACCAATCTAGATGGAACAAGCTAGACGGAAAAAATTTTCGTCTAGGTTGAATCAAACCTAGACGGGAGATTTGGAGAAAAAATTTCCGTCTAGGTTGCTCGTTTTTCTACTAGTGGTTGGTGGACTAAGCCCTCAGTCCACTTAAGTTTACACAAGCTATAATACTCTTCTAAGATATCCCCAGAACATTCTTGGCCATAGAATAATCCAGAGAAGACACAGAAAAAGAGCATTAATCTCAATTGCTCATTTTTAATACTAATTATAATATTAGTGTTCTAAATAATTCTCAGGTTTAGATGGTTTTTGGTTTACATAGAGATTTAAAAGGTAGAGCATTCTGCTATCAAACAAAAAGCAACACTAATTGAGGCAAAGTGTGTGAATAAAGAGCTATTGATGAGATAGGGAGGGAGAACATGAGTGTAAGATTTGTTTTCAAGTTGTGACTTGCAGCGGTGATTCAAAAAATGAAGTGTTATTCGAGTGAATTATGGGCTTCCTATCCATGTCATATTCTCAACAAAAATGAGTGGGATTCGAGTGATGAAATAAAAAACTAAGGAGATATATAAATGTCAATAAAAGCAGTGCATTATATAATCAAAAATAGCTTCAAGTAAAACAGTCTAAAAAAGGTTGAAACATAAATTAAGATTCACATAATATTAAGGCTACAGAAACAGAAGAAATAACATAATAAATCATCATACTCTCTCCTGTTTGCAATGTTCTAACCTTATGTTATCTTTCTCAAAATATGTTATAGGAATAGTTCTAATATGTCATCATTTTTCTCTGCGCCAATGACAAGTTAAGTGTTTTTATGCACCAAACCAAGAAGAGAAACTTGACATGTAAAGTCCAAAATTCAATGCTAAATAATGTGCTGCAAAATGGTGCCTCTCTAAACTGCAGTTAGACTTTTTTTTTCTTAAATAATATCTTTTCAGGGCATAGTGCATACATACAGATTCAAGTCACCTATGTTGGTAATATCATTTACTGGAAGATAATCAGCAAATACTATGGAAAACTGACCAAGGTAGCAAAGAGTCAAGAAACTAAACCAGTTGCCAATCACAGAAACAACCCATAAGCCACCAACTGCCTGCAATTGCATAACAGGCTTAGCTACAAGGGCAATAGATACAATATGCAGAAATGAACTGAACTGTGTAACAGATTCAAATTTTACCATCAGAAATTTCTTCAAATCTTTTCCTGAAGCAATATAACGGAAAGTTGTAAAAGCTTCATTGATCTCATGTCTAACTGAACGGGCTATACTTAGAACCTGATCCTCACGCAAGATAACTTCTGGAAACTTTGGTGGTGACCTGTTCGCATAAATTTTACAGTTAATTGAGATTCTGTTCATAAAGGTTAAGTGATCTGCGCTCAGCATTGAGTTAAACAATAAAATGCGATTTTATAACAGTTTCTGATACATGGATTTCACCGATGAACTATGTTAGCATACCCAGAGATCAACTGAGACTTCGCGCTGTTGTCTGAAAATGGCCAGATACTAAATTTAAGTAGATGAGGACAACTACTGAGTAGACAGGGAGCAGGCGTCATGACGAATACAATCTCAAAGGTCAACCCTATGCTCATTCTTCTCCTGCCTTCATCATTTTTTCTCTATACTCACTGTACATGATCTAGGAATAGGGCTGCAAACAATCAGATACGGCCTTGATATGATACTTACCAGCTATCCATATGTGTTTACCAATCACGGATACACGCATATATACTGATATATCCCCATTATGAAAACTCATATTCAGATCCGCTAATATTAGATATAGATATGGATACACATGCGCATACAAAACGGACATGAGAAAACCAAATGAGATAAAAAAAATATAGTTCATATGATACAAGAGAGTTCAATAATATGTTTGTTACAACTGAAAAGCTATGAAAAGCTAGGATTAGATCTGATCAACATATATTTCACTACGTAGTGCATCTGTAACCATATCCAATCAGATATAGATATTTAGTAATTATATCAATATTTAGTACTTATATCCATATTCATATGGATATATTCACAGATCCATATTCATATGGATATATTCACAGATACAGATATCTTTTTGCACCTCTCTAAAGGAAGCACAGACATGGATATATCAATGTGACATTCAAAATTAACTTCAAATATATTAATCTAAGGACTTAAACAATGGCAATTGTATGACCAACCTATATTTCGGATATTTCAGATACGGATCCGGATATTTCACTACATTGCATCCATAACCATATCCAATAGGATATAGATATTTAGTAATTATATCCATAATATTTGCAGATATGGATATTTTTTTCACCCAAATCTGGGAAGCACGGACATGGATATATCAATGTGACATGAAATGGTGGTAGTATAGAAATATAAAAAACTAAAAAGGAGTACATCCATGGGTCAAGGCTTTGATATATTTTTACCATTCAAGAGAAAGACTAGGAAGAACAGAAGAGAGGGAGCCTCACCCTATTACCTCAGCAAACTTCCTAACCAAAATTAAGCAAAAAGAGAGATCACAAACTGCCAAAGCCCCTGACCCCTGTATAGGTTATGTAAATGATCCTTCTCAAGGTAGATCCTCAAATATCAACCTCAGCATCAAATTCATAGCTAATCACTGCAACTGGAATCACCAGTTTAGTAATGTACGAACGTGACTGTAAATTAGTCCAAAATCAAATAGGATACTAAACCTGCTAGTGTTTCTCTCACATTACATGAGATAACACAAGACTAACTTTAAGCCATAAATTTAAAACGTGGATTTATGAGGAACTACACAACAATACCATCTTCATAATTTCTATTCATCTTCTTTACGTACGTGGAGGGATGTCCATTAAGACTCAGACCCCATATTTACTCATGTGCTTGCTATCAGACAAAATCTGGATGGGAAGTAATTACCTAGACCTCGGGCTAAACCTGGGTCAAATCTAGGTCCACTGAAGCAAGTAAGGACTTGACTCAAATAATTACCCCAACTAGAAAACTCCTACCGCGCAAGTTTAGAACACTAACATTGATATATGTATTGCTTTCAACAAATGCCTGTATGGGAAGTAACCCTTGGGCTAAACCAGGTTGTTCAAATCTGGGTCCACAGAATCAATTCCAGAACTCGTCTCAAAATAACAGCCCTAACTAGGAACCTCTTACAACACAACTGGAGCACTCGTGCAGATGTAAGTCTTCCATTTGCACAGTAATTGAATGGGAAGTAATTACCTTCCCCTCGAGCTAAACCAGGATCAATCCCACTGAATCGAGTCCAGGACTCACCTTAAAATACCACCCCTATGTAAGAACCCTTCTACCTCACAAAGTTTAGAACAAAGACCTGAATATAAGGAACGTGTGTGCAGAGTATGCACACCTCAAAACAACAGCCCTAACTAGAAGCCTCCTGCCAAAATCACATGGATATAAGGTGTGATGACAGCCTCAAATAGAAGCCTCCTACCTCATGAAACCTATGACACTCTCATGAGTATAGTTTGCATGTGTGTGCGTGTTAGGATCATGGACTTAGAATCCTATCGACACCCGGATTCATTAGCATGAATGATTTTTTTTATAACTGTCATGAGAAGTAGCGTCTATGAGCAAGAATGGAATAGCAAACTCATATTAGTATTAAAGATTGTAACTCTAAACACACGTCACACAGGAAGGATTACCATTAATAAATTCAAAAGAAAGAAGGAAGCAACTAAAGTAATGGGAAATATTGTTCGTAAAAAAAGACAATAGGTACTGCATTCTCACCTGTTGACAAGTGATGCTGCGTTGGACCAGAGAAACAATGCTGCCAATACAAACATGAAAGCATGGCATACAAAAGTCAGAAGGTGATAGTCCATACATTCGAAGAGGAGCCAGACAACAGTCACAACAGCAAGTATGCCACCAGACACTTGTTTGTTCCGCCACATTATCATATCAGCAACTGCATGCACAAAAAAATCGACTGATTAATGATGCATTAAGTGCACGAACAAATTAGTAACTATTGAAGAAATCAAGCAACATATTGTGCAATCTGGATAAGGAATGAAAGATGTAAGTCAAGCCAGATCCTATAATCTAGATAAAAAAAAGATGGAAAGATGTAAATCCCAGAAACATACAAGTACATTTACCACAATCAGGAAAAAAGAAACTCTGAATATATTAATGCAATCACTGTAAAATGAATCCAATAATAATATTCCAACAGAAAAACATCAGATACATCGGATTCATTACCGTACAACAGTACAACTACAGTTACCCCATACACATCATGTAGCGAACTCTTAAGTCTGTCGAGCAGTTAAAAAAAACTTTAACTAGAATTAGAGAGGAAAGGATAGAAATTCTAGAGAACCAAAATAAATTAGAGAAAAGGTAAACATAGGTATAGGAGCAACCATTACATCAGATCTTATTCAACTAGATGTGTCAGCCTTGAGAATCACTCTGCACAAATCAACCAAAATCAACTCCACTTAATGGATCAATTTCTTTTTTACACTATTCTGGAAATTGCACCGCAAGTTTACTTTTGTCTCTATTCATTCAGTTCTAGTTATTTACATGTTTTATTGAAATATTTATTAGCACAAATTCTGTGTTAAGAATATTCTAAAAAAAATGGCCAGATTTGAATAATCAGTTGTCAACCTAACATCTTAGCCTTCACTGAGATATCAAATCTAAGCATACTCCTGCTAACTTGACTGGCTCCAAGCAGAGCCTGAAGTGCTTGTTTGAGTTTTTGTGTGTGAATTTTATCAGGTCGGTGGTGGTTGAGCAATGTAAACACTGTCTTAATACTTCCTTACCAATTGCAATCTTGGCAGTGTTCTGTAAAGGTTTAAGTGATTTAAGCCATCCACTACTTGCAAAACCCAAATCAAGATAAATTAACCATTTGACAGATTACAGAGCTTTACAAAGTGAAGGGTTAAATAACCCACCACTTAAGCTGGATTGTACACTTCTATGAACACAAAGGACCTGTCATAGGATAGGGTTTTCATACATTTTCCCTTAAAAATCTCAAAATTTTAGCTCAAAGGGTTTGGCTGTTTTCGACATGAACTTGCTTCCCATTCCCATCTCAACATAGGTAGCACCACCTAACAAACAGAACACTATGGGAATAGCAGAAAAAAATTATGCACACACAGGATCACCAGCCCTTGTTTTTAGATGCATACATACAATATATACATAAATCCCAGATAAATGCACTGTGCCGATACTATACGCATTAGTCTTCAAGAATAGCAATTTTTCCAAGTGAATTAAGTGAAACATAACTCAAAAGGAGTGACGGTTTACAATAAACTTGTTCGCAAGAACTTGTAAGGAATTCAGTTGAGAATAGAAATTTAGATACACTGACCATACTGAGATGGTCTAATAACATCAATGGAAATTAAAATCACAGGAGAATTTTGTAGCTCGCAACAGTAGATTAAAGGAACTATCACTCACATGCATATCACTCACATGCAACTGAATCTTTGCATCTGTTATTGCAGGCAAACTCAATTGAAGCAGTCTGATTAAATTCTAAAATTATCTAACCTGCACTTTTAATTACAACTACTTAGCTCTGCTTGCAACTTCTCATATGCAACTCGTTCTCATTTTAACAAATTAGGAAAATTATTACTCACATTTGTTTTAGATTTTTATACATAAACTTCATCTTTAAAATTAATCATTTTCTTTTCTTTTGAAATTAAACTATTCAAATTAAGTAATGAGAATATTAGTATTTTTGAAAAATATATATATATTTTTAAACTTTGAAATAAATCATGGAATTGCTTATTATTTCAGATCTTAGAAATTTTTTATTGTTGGGATTTTTATTTTAATTTTTTTTTATTGTTAAAATATCTACTAAAACGAAATTTTCAGAGGAATAAGTTTTTATTTTATATTTTTATAAAAGATAAGATTTTCTTGAAATTATTATTATAGATTTTAAATATAAAATTGTTTCAAAATTAATAACATTTTTGAATATTTATTCCTTTCCAGAATTTTTCAGAGTTTCATTATTTAATTTTTGAAGTGAGTTTTATTTGACTTTGTTGCAGCTGTGGTTGCTTTTACAAAGGATTTATAATATAGTTCATTTAAGTTGAAAGCGTGGTGTCCAGCCATTTAGTTGCAAGTCACAACTTGAACCTGAGGGGTTAAAAATCATTGGTTGCAAACTCCAAGTTGCACACGGATAGCGTCGCGTCACGGCGAGGTACCGCTAAAGTTATTTGGTGCTATTGCGGCAAAATAGCGGTAAATAACGCATAGTCAAATAGCGGTCAAATATAAATATATTTAAATATTCTAAATAATAAGAAAATCATATAAAAAATCTAAAAATTCTACAAATGTATACTTGATGCCTAAACATGAAATAGATGTGTAATAATTACATAATATTAACAAAGTACTATAATTATAAAGAATAAAAAAACATACATGTTTATCAAAAAGACCATTATTTGTCTCATTTCTTCAACTTTCAAGTCTCTAATATAAAAATGCTCAACAATAAAAAAGCATTGATTAGTAACATCATCGTCATTATATTAATTACTAGAAATTTGACATAAAAAAATAAAATATTCAAGCATATATAAATGACTAAATGAGCAAAACAAGATAACACCATGATAGATAATAACAATCTATAGATACTAAGCAAGCAATAAAGATCAAACTCCAAAAACATGGAGATGTTGCTGCTGCAGGTTGCCGGAGGGAAGTTCTGGTGTTGCCGGAGGGAAGTTATGGTGTCGTCGGAGGAAGAGAGAGAGAGAGAGAGAGAGAAAGGTGAGACCATGAGAGAAAGAGAGATGGGCTTGACCGGAGGTGTAGCTGGTGCGTGAGATGTTGCCAGCGG